GCAGCTAACGCAATGATAATCCTCACGGTTTCGATCCTTGCAACAGGTGCAAAGACTTCCTCAAAATTTATGCCATGTCTTTGTACATAACCCTTTGCAACAAGTCTAGCTTTAAACTTCTTAATACTACCATCTGCATTACGCTTGATATTGAACACCCACTTTAATCCTATTGCTTTGCATCCAATGGGAAGATCTGCGAGTGTCCACGTCTTGTTTTTCTTGATTGAAGTTATCTCATCTTCGCATGCTTCCCTCCAGACCTTATCATGTTTGGCTTCGTTCCAATCCCATGGCTCCTCATTGATCAAAAATAGCATCCTCTCTATCTCTTGTATCTCAGCCACTAGAACATAATCATCTAAGTAGCTTGGTCTTACTCTTTCCCTCATAGATCGTCTTAGGTTCTGAGGTTCTACTTCTGAGTTCTCAGCCTCATTGTGATCACTGTGATCAGTGTGATCACTTTCAGCATCACTAGCTGCATCTTCTTCTTGTGCTTCCTCCCCTTGAGATGCGTCTAACTCATCTGCAGGGAATGAGAATTTTAATCTCTTCTGTGTCTACATACGATTCTCTCCCTGTTATGTTCCAATTCCAAGTCTTATCTTCCACAAAAACAACATCTCTGCTAACTACTATCCTCTTAGCTTTCGGATCATACAACCGATAGGCTTTAGTTCCAGGTTATGTTCCAAGGTAGATCAACTCTCTTGATCTATCATCGAGCTTCTTGAGATGTGGTGTCTCACTCTTTGCATAACAAACACAGCCAAATACACGCAGATGACTCACATCTGGTTTCTTCTCCTTATAGCATTCATATGGTGTTTGTATGTTCAGAGTTCTCGTCCCAACTCTGTTTATTAAATACGTTGAGTGTCTTACCGCTTCTCCCCATATGTAGTTTGGAACTTTTGCATGTTTCATGATGCTTCTTACCATCNTTCTCCTTATAGCATTCATATGGTGTTTGTATGTTCAGAGTTCTCGTCCCAACTCTGTTTATTAAATACGTTGAGTGTCTTACCGCTTCTCCCCATATGTAGTTTGGAACTTTTGCATGTTTCATGATGCTTCTTACCATCTCCATCAAGGTTCTGTTTCGCCTCTCAACAACTCCATTCTGTTGTGGAGAGTATGGTGCTGTAAGATGTCGTTTTATGCCATGAGTATTGCAGAAGTCTTCAAACTGTTAAGAGGTAAACTCACCACCTCTGTCTGTCCTCAACGTTTTGATCTCTACTCATGATTCTTGCTCAACTAGTCACTTGAATCTCTTGAATCTCTCAAACGCTTCACTTTTATCCTTTAGTAAGATAGACCACATGTACCGTGAGTAATCGTCAATCAAGACGAATATATACCTACTTTTCCCTGCAGTTGGCGGTGTGATTGGCCCACACAGATCACCATGAACTAGCTCTAGCTTTTGTGATGCACGGTATGTACTTGCCTTTGGGAATGCTGCTCTTGTTTGTTTACCCATAAGACAAGAAGTACACGTTGCTTTCTCTAAGGTTATGTTAGGCATGCAACTGATCATCTCTTTATTTAGCATCATCTTCATAGTGTCTATATTAGCATGTCCAAACCGTGCATGTCATAGTTCTGAATCACAAACTCCACTAAGTTGAAGGCGCTTTGCATTCTCAACATCGATCGTCACCTTGTATAGTCTGTTCTTTGACCTTAATGATCTCACTAGCAGGTTCCCATCCTCGTCGTACAAGTTTAAATAATTATCTCTCATCCTGATGTCACAACCAGATTTTGTGGCTTGACCAAGACTAATGATATTACTCCTAAGATCAGGAATAAAGTATACATCTGTCAAGATCTTTCTCTTGCCATCCCTTGTGATGAAAAGGATTGAAAATTTGCCTTTAATATCTATATGTGAATCATCTCCGAACCTTACTTTTCCTGTGATTGTCTCATCAATTTTGCAAAAGAACTCACGATTTCCTGACATATGATTACTCGCACCATTGTCTAGATACCAGATATTATCACAAACTTGTTGTTCTGCTTCCTCAAACTTGCTTGGCAAGACATTCTTCTCATTAAGAAAGACAATCTCGTGCACCATCAAATCTTCTGCCTCATGTGTACTATCATTCTCAGTTTCTTGGGTCTCTTGGAGCTTAAGAAAGCGATCAGGACAATTATATGCATAATGTCCAGTCTTATCACACCTAAAACACACCACACGAGATGTATCTCTCCCTTGTTTCCAGTCACCACGACCATTAGTACGAGCTCGGCCTCTTCCTTTGTTATTAAAACGTCCTCTTCCTCTGCCATATCCTTCATGTTGACTCTAAGAATCCATGTTGGCATACATGAGTTTCCCTTGTTCCTCTTGTTGTTCATCTGTCTTGATTCTCTCTTCATAAGCCTTTAGTCTCCCAACAATCTCCTCAAAACTAATTGTGTTTAAGTCTGTAAATTGTTCTATTGCAGCAATAATGTTGATGTATTTATTCTTTGGAAGGCTGCTTAAGAACTTCTTCACAAGCTTTGGCTCGTTGATCTCCGTACCTAGGGCTCTTGATTTTGAGGAAACCTCTGAGATGTTTCCTGAGAACTCATCTATAGATTCTGTGTCTTTCATCTTAAGACTACTAAACTCATCCATAAGAGTTTGTATCCTTGCTTCACGCACCCTATCAGCTCCCACATGTCTAGTCTTAATCGCTTTCCATATTTCCTTTGCATAAACAAGATTGCCAACATTCAACAGCAGAGTCTTTGGAATTGATTGGAAAAGTAGTGCTCGTGCCAAGACGTTTTTATCAGATTTGACTTCTTCTCCTGGATCGATCGCCTCCCATGCCTTGTGCACCTGAAGCGCTGCCTTCATCCTCATGTTCCACACTGTGTAGTTTACAGAGGTAAGCATTGAACATTGTATTGTTGTCGGAATACTATCCTTCGCTTTGCTTACTACAACAATCTCTCCCATAACTTTTTGATTTCAATCACGCTCTGATACCAATTATTGAAACCAAAAGTATGATCGTACTCAACGATCAAGAACTCAACTATATCAAACTCAAGAACTCTTTATTGCTTTAGAAAACTTAACTCAAAAATTAAGCTCTCAATCTTACAACTCATAAGTTATGCAACACACTTTGCATCTCCTTATATATAACTTAAACTTTCCTAAACTCATAAGGTTTAACATATTAGAATATTTCCTTTTCTTCTAGTCCTAAACTCATTAGGATAAGTGATAACTTGTCTCTCAAGTTATTGTCAAGCTTATGCCAACAATTCGTTGGCCAAGTATGTAGATGGTATGATGAACTTAGTATTTAGCGTTGATATAGGGGAATCGTTCACAAGTATCCAAGTTTTACTCGTGAATATGTTGATCGAATGCATCACATGATGACTAGTTGGGCATTCATATGCTTTTTTTGTTTACGATAAACCTGAGATGTTTATGTCTATATGTGAAAGAATATATCTCAACGTGTCACGTGATTGCTGGTGCTCCACAATAATAGAACCAGTGTTTGAAGTCTCCATAGATGAATCAAGAAAACGGTGGAGATGCGATTGTTGTTTGTGACAACGTGCCGCTTAGGACTTCTGCAGTGACATTCATTTGACCGCTTGTGGCTGGCCAATTGGAGATTAGTTGTGTGTGTTATGAAATGTAATGTCTATCTACTTTGACTAACTTTATGTAAAATACACTTCAGACTATGCAATGTGAATAATTATTGTGATGCATTAACCAATTTTTTCAGCCGCTTTCATGTCTTGGTCTTCTTCTTCAGGGTTTGGGTTTATGTTCTCATTCACAGCGACCAAGTTCGTAATGAGGTCTCTGAGCTATTGTGGGTAGAGTTGAATTCCTGCAACATTCATACAGTGGAAGAAGGATACACGTGAGACTGTTTTACTCAAATTAGTTACTTAACATCAATCAATACCATGAGACCAATCAAAAAACTAAGTAGTCATCCTAAATATACCAATTTATTTCACAAACAAAGAGAGTGTCATAGAATTACAAACCCTCGTCTGATGTGACTTCGGGCCCATTAGAGGAATTCAACCCATTCAAGGATTTCTACAATCAAGTGACTTCGGGCCCATATTGTAATGAGATTTTGATTGGTTGTTTACCTTTGCCACTCAAACAATCAATTTTAATTGAAGACATAATCTCTCTAGCGCACGAGGACACCATTCTAGCAAATCATCTTTGTTTAAGTCTTTTTTTCTATCTCTAATAACCCTTTAATATTTATATTTGCCTACTCACAGATAACCTAGAATACACACAGTAGTAGACACCAATATGACCAAAATGTGATAGCATCCTGAACATAAAAGATTTGCACACGACATATACAAGGTTTAAAAGAGCAAAAAAGTGAAGAAAATGTATTTGAGAGCGAAGGCTGATTAATTATAAAATCAAATTCCTTGTCATTTAATGAAAGGTTTGTATAAAGGTTTCTATAATTGGCAGTAGCATGCCAAACAATGTCATTCTCACTGTGTCGTTACTCTGCTAGTTCGTAGACTTGTCAAGAACCTACTAGATCGTACACTTGCTATTAGCTTACCAGTTTGTATACTTATCGTTAGCTTGCCAATATTAAGTGTAACACTGGCATTTTGGAATAAATTGGACTAGCAACACAAATTTCCTTCTTATGGGTACTGACTCCACAATATCCCTTAAAAATGTGGCAAATCAAAAAATTATCTCTAAAAAGTAAGATAAAGAAAAACTACATATGTGTAATTTTCAAGTTATTTATGAAGTGGCCAAAAATCAAGGCCTGGTTATTACACCTGTAGTAGCAACACATGCACATCACGTTAAACTTTATTTCATTATACTAAGAATAAAATAAACAATACATAGAGTAGAGTAGTTATTAGATTCAATAGTTTGAATGCACATAGACTTATATATAGTATTCTTATATATATGTGTACATATATATATATATATATATTGATTCCTCTTATTGTTTGATTATGAACTTAGAAAACCATTTGCCATAAGCTTTTTCCCTTCGATCAGCAGGATTAGAGAAATTGACCCAATTCAAACCAAACCGGAGAGTGTAACCATTTCCGAACTCATAGTTGTCCATCAAAGACCATGCAAAATACCCTGCTACGTTGCATCCATCACTGTAATATATTTAAAATATAATGTTAACACTTATAATTCTCAAAAGTAAGTCAAATAAAGTATGAATCATTATAGCTCACTCGATAGAGCATTTGAGACATGAAAGATGACTGCAATGATTTTGAATTCGTCCATTATCGGCAAGGGCATCTGGCAGCGTTAAGTTTCCGATATCAAGATCAGCAACTCCTGAAATTTTAACACAAGATTTTTCAGTCAAAAAAAAAAAAAAAGAAGAATTTCACAAGATTTCTAAAACGTTTTCATTGCTTAACCATATTTGTATTGGTATAATGGTATGATATGTAAGTACCGTTTTCAGTGATGTAGGTAAGTGGGTTTCCGTATTTGTTTTTGATATAGTTAAGAATCTGACGGAACCCTGGAGGGTAGTAGACGAAGCTAGGTGCCTGCACAAGATGGGGAAAAAAAATAAAAAGAAAGAAAATTCAAATAAATGCTGTGATCTCTTTAGAAAAATGATGATTCTAAATCAAAGTCGATGATCGATAACCTGAACACCAATAGGTACTCCGTTCCTATAATCTGTAGCCAAGTAGAGAAATTCTATGAGTTTAGCGAATTCAGACACACATATATATAAGAATTATAAGGACAACATTTTTTTGACATACATCCAAGAGCAACTCTTGGATCGGTTAGGACATTAGGCTGTGTGGAAGGAGGTGCGTCGGTCGCATATTGTGTAACGTAATAGTTCAACCCTAGAAAATCAAGTGATCCTTTGACTAACTTTGATTCTTGCGGTGTGAATTTTGGCAATCTATTTCCAACCATCTGTCGCATTATCTTTGGATATGTTCCGTAAACTAACGGATCCAAAAACCTTCATACATATATAGAACAAAAATGATAAATTAAATACTGCAAGTATATTTGATCAAAAAAAAAATTAAAAAATACTGCAAGTATATTTTTTACAAAGGCTTTATACAAAAGCTTTATATATGTGCGTGTCTTCGTGTATTTTCATGAGATCTGAGAGTCAATTTAATTGACAAATTTATATACCATCCGACGAAGAAATCAAACGCTCGCTTTGCAGCAGCCTTGTCGAGAATGCTATTGCCGTTTAACGGAGTGAACCATCTCCCTATCAAGGTCGTTCCTATTTTACCACCTTGAAATTTCTGCATGCATTGATAGTTTTGGATTATAGGATACATATATCAAATACAAATAATATTGAAAGACAAAATTCATGACATATTTGGTAGTATACGAGCCTGATATCTTTTTCGGTACAATGATACAACTTTTGCATGAGCTAGAAGTTGGTGATGTGCAACTATATAAGGTTCGGTTCCAGAATTTCCTCCAAATTCACAGCCAGTGCACCGTCCAGGCGGATATGATCCGTCTCCATAACCTTTGCTTGCGAGAGAGTAAGGCTGGTTTAAAGTGATCCAAAATTTGACCCTGTCTCCGAATCTCTGGAATAGAAGCTCGGCGTAGTTTGTGTAGTCCTCCCTGCCCATATATCATACATATTAAATAAAAGATAGATCTAATATGATGTATACAAGTAAAATAACCTAAGACTAAGATTAAAATTTAATAGTATAAAAACTATGTAATGCACTTACACTATACGCCGGCTCAAGAAACCTCCATATTTATCTTCAAGAGTTTGGGGAACATCCCAGTGGAATATTGTTACGTACGGTTCTATGCCTTTATTCACACAAAATAACTGACACAATTAAAAAAAGCTCTTATATTTATCATTAAGAATACAAATTTATCTAATATATATGTTTACCATTTGCTTTTAATTCATTGATGAGGTTATTGTAGTATTTTATCCCGTTTTCGTCAATCCCTCCAATCAATCTACCCTCTAAGGGTAAACATAATTAAATACAATCATAACATTAGTTAAAAATGTAATAATAGTTTGAACAACAATAATAATAACAATAACAAAATTTTGTTCTTATCAGTTATCATCTGCACTTACTAGGTAAGACCCTTGACCATGCTATTGAGAGTCGGTAGGCTTGAACCTTCATTCTTTTCAGTAATTTAACATCCTCCTGTAATATGAGACTTCCAGAGTTAAATTACATTTCTGAAATGGAACAAACAACCATGTATACACACATTCATCACTAATAGTCTCTCACCTTGTAAAGATCATAAGAATCACAAGCAAGGTCTCCGGAACTGCGATCTGGAACTTTCTCTGTACATATATAGCAAACCGAAATATGAGCATGACCACCTTGATATCTATGAGTTAAATATATAGTCCCATCCGTTATTTGTACATAGGGATCGACATACATGCTAAATAATTATGCGGGTAAATTGTTAATGAATGATGTTTATGACCTGGATATCTATGAGTATAATAGTCCCATCCGTTAAGTGCTCTATGTGCTGCACCTTCAATCTTGTGACGAAAATATAAGTCATGCAGGTCGGGTTAAAGATTTTCGTAATAGATGAAAATGATCTTCATAGATAAATCCCTATATATATCCTATTAGAGCCAGAGGGTCCGTAACAAAGAGATGTGTACCTGGTAGGCGGAAGTAGCCGCACCAAAAGTGAAGTTCTTTGGAAAACTAGTTCTGTTGAATGTTAGGGAATTGTCGCACTTGAAGGGTTCTTTAGCCTTACAAGCCGGGTTGCAAACATTTTGGCTACTTGAAACCGCAAAGAGAATTACAAGAATGGCTAAAGAGAAGTGAACTTTCATGGTTGAGAGCATTGTGTGGTTTGCTTTCTTTGGTGGTTAGTTGTTTTAATTTGCTTTTTGTTGATGGTTAATTTGATGATGATGACTAAATAATGAACTTGGAAGGGTTTATATAGGAAAGTTTGCGTGCATGAGATTTTGCATGGGGCCGGGTTTGAAGTAAACTCGTTACGTACGAATATTTGCAATGATTTTTAACCTCCACGTTTTCCACCTCATGACTCGTTGAATCTTTTCTGAAGTAAAATTTACATCATATGATCATAACAATTTCCCATCTATATAGTGTTATCTAAGCAAGGATTATTGAGTTGTTAATACTCGAAAAAAAAAATTACAAAAAAAAAATACTCGAAAATTGATTTATTACGAAAAAAACAAACAATTAGCCATGTTATTTAAATAGTAAGCATCTTTTCAAGAAAAAAACAATTAGCCACGTTGAGTTTACGGCATCATATTCCTCTTGCTTATATTTGTAATGTTAAATACGTATATAGCTTTTTTTTTTTTCAAAAAAAAAAAAATACGTATATAGCTTCACAAACGATATATACCTGCATGCACATGTCCGAAACTTTGAAATGAGAACACATGCTAATTAATGTTCATAAAAAATTCATATGCAACTTGTTTATATTTGTGAAATTTGTTAACGGTGTTCGTTCGAAACACATTCTCTTTTAGCTTATTGTTCAATGTACTCATATGTACAGCAACTCTGCTTCCCTAACTAAGCAAATTACGATCGACTTGTTTCATTTAAACGGGTTCAATATTAGACCACCTCCATTGCATTGGTGTCCTAAAATTAATTTAATAATTAATTGTATACTTTATGAAGTTTAGAAATCCTATTAACGTAATTAATTTTGTGAAAGTCCAATGGAAGAACCCGTATGAGATTCTTAAATATTTAAGGATTCGGAGGAAATATGAACCCATAATTACGGTAAATAATAACCTTGATTAATATATATACCCTTATGCATTTATCATTCTTTAATTAGCGATGAAATGGTATAATTAAAAGAGATCGTTAAATAAAAATATTGCTAATCGGTAGTTAATTTATAGAGAGTAGTTACTCATGCTTCAATTGGTACCGATCAAAGGACAAAATGAACAGAAAAAAATTGAACAAATTTTCATTTAAAGAATTAAATTGAAAAAAGAAGTCCAACATTTAGGAACAAACGTTCCTCATCAATTTAGAAGAGGAAAATACTAGCTTCTTCATCAATTCCTCTATTTATGAGGAACGTAGAGGAATGTGGTGGGATCCATCAGAATTAGTTTGAGAAAATAATCAACTTAATTGGTATCAATATTGAGGAACAACAAATTCATCATCATTTTTTTCCATAAAGTGGTGTGGTCACCAATTGAAGTTTAAATGAATGCTACAGATATTATTCTATACGTAAAAACAATTAAATATATAGATAAGAAATTACAAAAAATAATATAAAAGAAACGGCACAAGCATAAACCTAAACCGGTTCTGAATTCTTAATTCTAGTATAGGATTTGAATTGGAAAAAAAAATCCCAACTAGCGCTTGAATTAGAATGAAACGCCCCAAAAATTATGCAAATTTGTTACAGATTCTATTAAGGAGTATATGTATAAAACTTATTTATTTATAGTACTAGCTTCATATACCTTTATTATTATGATGATGATATTGTTAAGTCACATTCATTACAAAACTAATGGCAATGCCTATAGTACAACAACATACAAGAAAGACTCTGTAAACTAATAGAGTTCGAACTATAACTAATTATTATTACTTTTTCAAAAAAAAATCTATAAATTTGTAGAGTTACTAATTTTTAGAAAAATAGATTTATATTTATATTTTTATTAAAAATACAAAAATAATATTTTATGACATGATTTTATAAATTATTAAAAATTCTATTTTAATTTAATAGTTTAATTAAATTATTTGGTATATTTTATGTATGTTGTATATGTATGATAGAATACAAATATATTTTTTTCTATGTAATCCCTTAAAATAACACATTTTTAAATTAGAGATTAAATTCACTTCAGGAAAAATAAACAATAAATTTTTATTTATGTTATATGAATGAATATATAAGTGATTATTAATTTCTGATTTAATGGGACCATATATCTAAATATTATTATTTTATTAAAATATAGTATATTATTATTATTTTATTTAAAATATATTATAATTTATTCTGGCACAACTTAGAATTGGATAAATTTATTACTTTATCAAATGTTAATTTATATAATTTTCTTACTGTAGAATGTAAATATAACTACATAGTTATTAGATTATGAAGTTGGGAACATGTAAGTTGACATGATCTATTTGTTCCCTAGCAATGAACTTAGAAAACCATTTTCCAGAGTCTTTCTCCTTTCTATCAGCGGGATTGGTGAAGTTGACCCAATTCATACCGAACCGTAGCGTATAACCTTCCACAAATTCATAATTGTCCATCAAAGACCATGCAAAGTATCCTGCTACATTGCACCCATCCCTATATTAAAGTATTTAGGTTAATATCCTAATATTAACACACATACCTTTGAACAAATATCTTACATATACACGAACAACTCACTCGATTGAGCATTTGAGACATGAAAGATGGCTGCAATGGCACTGAATTCGTTCCGTATCGGCAAGAGCATTTGCAATTGGCAGATTTCCATAATCAGAAAAGCCTAATAGAAGCTTCTTGTTTGGTAAGCATATTTTGACAGCATTAGAAAATGATATATTTATATACACGTACCGTTTTCCGTGATGTATGTAAGTGGATTTTTGTAAGCCTCTTTGATGTAGTTTAGAATACTACGGAAACCTGGAGGATAATACACAAAGCTAGCAGCCTGTGGAAGAAGAAAACTAAGCAAATCAATGTTGTAATCTTCTAAAGATAGTATACTTGTATAATGTAAGTTGAAAATAATCTGATACTAGCCTCAACACCAATAGGAACTCCATTCCGATGATCTGAAATAAAATAAAACATATTATAGTTTATCTAATTAATTAAATATCTGGATTTAAAAGGAAATAGGATGGGTTGTAAACGTACAACTGAGAGTAACTACTGGATCTGTTAAGACATTTGGATTTTCAGGACGAGTAGTTGCATCTGTTGCATATTGTGTAAAATAATAGTCTAACCCTAGAAAATCAAGTGATCCTTTAACTAACTTCGATTCTCGAGGTGTAAATATTGGCAACCTAGCTCCTATGATCTCCTTCATTGTCTTTGGATAATCTCCATAGACCAATGGATCCAAGAACCTTCAAGTAGAAACATATGTAAACTGATAGACATTAAATGTTACTTCAAATGTCTATAGGTTATAGACTTCAATACATGTATGATTTGAAGTCAGTAAACTGAGCATAAATTACATAAATTACATACCATCCAACGGTGAAATCGAATGCCCGTTTCGCAGCAGCTTTGTCGAGGCTGCTAGTTTCGTTTAGTGGGGTGAACCATGTCCCGATCAAAGTTGTCCCTATCTTACCTCCTTGAAATTTCTGCGAGTGGTATATTAACTTTGACATAAAAAACACATACTAAAGCAGATTTATCTAGAAAAGAATGGTGACAAAAGTGTTGGATAGATTTACCTGATATCTTTTACGGTATAGAGATACAGCTTCTGCATGAGCTAAGAGTTGGTGATGAGCGACTACGTAAGGTTCGGTTCCAGAATCTCCTCCCAATTCACAGCTAGTGCATCTTCCGGGTGGATTTGACCCATCTCCATACCCTTTCGTTGCGAAAAAGTAAGGCTGATTCAAAGTAAGCCAAAACTTTACTCTATCTCCAAATCTTTGGAACATAAGCTCAGCGTAGTTCTTATAATCATCCCTTTACATATAAGCGTATTAATATTTTCATGTGCTTTCTGTAATCTAGGATAAAGGAAAACTAGATTGGTAAATTAGTGCACTTACACTATTTGTGGACTTAAGAAACCCCCGTACTCGTCTTCTAGAGTTAGGGGAACATCCCAGTGAAATAATGTCACATATGGTTCTATTCCTGTACGCATAGTATAAAGTACGTTTGTTTACAAGGAGAATCAATAAGGTAATACATATATATATATATATATATATATATATATATATATATGTATGTACGTACGTATCCAAATATATAGATATATGAAGAGTTTAATTTATATGTCAATATATATGTGAGCGTAAGTTAACATTAAGATTTTACCATTTGCTTTTAGTCCGTTGATGAGATTATTGTAGTAGGATATCCCATTCTCGTCCACTCCTCCATCCAATCTTCCCTCTACGATACATTGATACGCGGAATAACAACATAATTTTAATTATTAAAGTTTACTTCATGAATTACATATTTTTTGTGTAATTATATTTACTTGGCAAGACTCTTGACCAAGCTATTGAGAATCGGTATGCTTGAACGTTCAATCTTTTCAGCATTTCGACATCTTCCTTTAAGAACATATAAAAGTTTTTAGTTAGATTTCACTGAGAATATCTTAAACTACGACAATTTCTTACTCTTTATTTGGAAAAATATCCCAAAATACATTTTAGGTAGATTATGCAAAGTTTAAGAAATATCATATTTCATTTCTTAAAGGGGATCAGCTCAAAGAGTATGTTGCATTATGGTATTAGCTAACCTTTGAGATTGATGATTTATGTCATATCTGATATTATCAACCGTTTACTAACTCATGAAATTTAATTATCTAACTTAACTTCTAATATAAGGGCATCTCCAATAGTGTTATCACCATTAAAATCCTTAAAAAAGTGTTTTTTCATTTTTAATTATTTTCTTTTTAGGATTTACAGTCATAATCATTTTAAATTATTTTCTTTAAGGATTTTTTTAGAATAGAACAACTCAAGAATAGAACAATAGTGTTATCACCGGTAGAGTTGTTCTATTCTAAAAAGAAAATAAAAACCCTTAATTATATGGGACCCACGATTAAGAATTTTTTTTTAAGGATCTCGGATGCTTTATCAGCAGCCTCAACGGTAAGAAGCTATTAAAGTTTATGAGAAAAAGAGAAAACTAGTTTTTAAAAGATAATGTAACTTTTCATTTTTCTTTATATGTTTAAGCCAACAATTTTGTGATAGTTGGTACAACTCGTATCTGAGGAGTTGGCCTGCGATAACTTTTTCTAAACCTCTGACATACCTTTTTGTTGTTTTAAATTTTCTTTAATAGCTGATATCCCCTCTAGATCTTACCGTTAAAGATGCTCTAATCTTGGACTCCCAGAATTAATTGAAATAGGGAGAATACTTAAACATATTGTGTTTTGGGGTAACAAATTGTTTATTTATTTTTTACATCAAAAAGCCATTCTAAAGGGTAACGAATTGTAAAACTGGTATGTTATAGTTAATCATAATTTATGTAAATTATTATAGTACTAAAAGTTTCTTGCATACCGTATAAAGAGTTGTTCTATTCTAAAAAGAAAATAAAACCCTTAATTATATGAGACCCACAATTAAGAATTTTTTTTTAAGGATCTCTGTTGCGGATGCTTTATCACCAGCCTCAACGGTAAGAAGCTATTAAAGTTTATGAGAAAAAGAGAAAACTAGTTTTTAAAAGATAATGTAACTTTTCATTTTTCTTTATATGTTTAAGCCAACAATTTTGTGATAGTTGGTACAACTCGTATCTGAGGAGTTGGCCTGCGAGAACTTTTTCTAAACCTCTAACATACCTTTTTGTTGTTTTAAATTTTCTTTAATAGCTTGGCCTGCGAGAACTTTTTCTAAACCTCTGACATACCTTTTTGTTGTTTTAAATTTTCTTTAATAGCTGATATCCCCTCTAGATCTTCCCGTTAAAGATGCTCTAATCTTGGACTCCCAGAAATGATTGGAATAGGGAGAATACTTAAACATATTGTGTTTTGGGGTAACAAATTGTTTATTTATTTTTTACATCAAAAAGCCATTCTAAAGGGTAACCAATTGTAAAACTGGTATGTTATAGTTAATCATAATTTATGTAAATTATTATAGTACTAAAAGTTTCTTGCATACCGTATAAAGATGATATGAATCGCAAGCAAGGTCGCCCGAGCTACGGTCCCGAACTTTTTCTGGATATCTATGAGTGAAATAATCCCAGCTGTTCAAAGCGCGATGTGCAGAACCTTCAATCTAGTAAAAATATACATAATGTGTATATTAATATAATTATATAAATTTGTATGCAACAATATAGGTGTTAATCGATCTTTCTAAGCAATCGAGCAAAGATTTGTATATATATATATATATAATATATGTGTGTGTATATATATATTGTATATCTCTACGACTCTACCTGATATGCAGAAGTGGATACACCGAAAGTAAAATTCAGTGGGAAACCAGTTCGATTAAATGTAAGTATACTGTCGCAACTGAAAGGTTCTTTAGCTTTGCAGGCCGGGTTACATTGACGTTGGCTAGATGTACCAGAAACCGCAAGGAGAATTACAAGGATGGCTAAAGAGTGGTTTGGTTTTGGAATTGCCATATATAATGTGCTTCTTTAGTTATTCTGCCTTTAGTGTTAATTAATATTATGATGATGATGATTAATTGATTGTTGGAGGGGTTTATATAGAAGAGTTTGGGTGTAGCACAACAATTCACAATTGCATGGATCAATGTTTAAGTAATCTGGTTACGTGTGTAGTGGCATAACTAATAAACATTTATTTTCTTAAAATGTTTATCTGCAAAGTATATACGATTGAAGGCTCGTGCTAAATTGTCGATAATTCCACTAGACAATTAACCAATTTTGTGTATCACCTAGTACATATGAACTGTTCCTAATTATAAGTTGACACACTGAGTTTTATACGTCATCATATTCCTCTTATTATGAGGAATACTTAGATAGTCTAAATTCCAATGTGATATCTTTCGATCCATGATCAGGCCCCTTACTAACTTGTTGACCAATGTATGTCTGCTGTGATTAGAGCAGCTAAAAATGTTTAATGATTTTTACATTGTCTAGACGAGGACATTTTCTTAACAAAGACATATATCTTTCTTATTGCGCAAGATATTAATAAGTTAGAATATATTGTAGATTTCGTGATCGACATGCAAGAAACACAAACTATGAAAGGAAAATGATGAAAACGTGAGAAAATGTTTCGAAGAGAAGAATATGTTTACTTAAACCCCCGAAAATCCATCGTCGATATCTTTCAGCTTGACAGTTTTAAATGACTGATGAAAGTTATCATGTATCTGACGAAAGTTATCATGTATCCTTTGTTCTTTCCATGCTAGCAAAATAATGTTTATAGCATAGTTTTCTTTTCGACGAAATTACTTGAAATAGGGTTAATATCTCAATAACCAATTTTGTAAACAATATTAAAAATATAGCTATGATTTTTTAACGTTATTAGGTGATATATTATTTTCTCATTTTTCTCTCCGGCTTTGGTCTGATCTTTTAAACCAGTTAGCGGTTAAAATAAAGAAAAAAACTAGATTCTAACTTGCCTTTTAAAAGGGTGGATATACTTTTGTTTTATTTTATTTTGAAAAAATAATTTTGGTACTTTTTTTGTAAAACCGTTAGAAAAAGATATTTATGTTTTTTAATATAATTTAATTTGATATAAATTTTTGATAACTATATTAAATATGTCAAATTAACTATACACTTATGTCATACACATTTTAGAAATTATTTTTAATTTTATTCCAAAAGTTTGTAACATATTATATTTTTTTATTAGTTACCTAACATATAGTTAGTCAAGAATATTCATATAAAAAGAACCGATTCGAAATCAACCCAAAAATTAAAGTCTCATAATCAGTTAATCTGTATGCTTAAACGGTTTTAATGTTATATCTGAAAACTAATATCAAACCCAATCCGCACCGAATACGGAACCAACTTTTTTGCAAAAATGTTTGAAAAATTAATTTTTAATATATTCTGTTACAAAAAAAGTATATATGTATATTTCGATGCAAAAGTAAATGAACCATCTAGTGGTAAAAGAGACGACTATTACCTAAGACTAGGAAACAAACTCACGCATTCGTGCAGGTAATTAAATTCTTTACAGCCAAATTGAAATGATTTGATATTAATAAACAATAAATTTAATAATTACTTCTTTCTACTTGATACTTTTATCATTTATCACACACATGTTCATAGTAAATCTATTAGATCATGTTTTAGAAATGTATATACAGATTAAAAAATAAAAATATCAATAACAATTATACTTAACCAAAATCTGGTCAATAGAAAAAGCAACAACAAAATGCATAAAGTCTATTGATAAATTAATAAATTTTATATTAAAAAATAAAAAATGACCTAATTTGAACAAATGTTTTTTTTCTTCTAAAACTTCATAAATTGAAAATCACAACCATATCGCGTAGGAGCACATTTTATAAAAACAAATAAAAAGTATTTTATAAAATAAAATTTTATATAATATAACATTTTATAAAAACTCTTTTAACTAATTTTGAGAAAATACGTGTGTTATAAATTAGATCTCATGAAACTATTTCACTTTATTTATAATATTGAAAATATAAATTTCGTTTATAGGTTTGGTTGAAATAAACTTACAAATATATCAATACGAAATACTATGTTTTATTATCCAATTAACTAAGTTATTAAAAAATCTTGAAAAAGCAACTGAATATTTGAAACTAACTAAAAATAGTCTATAACATATTTCAATTTATTTAAGCAAAAGGTAAAAATACATCCATATGAACAGATTAGTTTCTATAGTTTTTTGCAAAATTGACTCACAACTCAAAATCAAACACAAAACTAACTTCTTCTTTTCATTCATCTTTCTTTTGTCCTATTCACCCCACATCTTCATTTTATCTACAAAAATGCCATTAAAAATTTGTGTAAATTTTTTTCGAAAATGGCTTTTTTACTCTCTCAACCTCGTCATTTTCAAGTATTTACGACATTGTCATTGCCATAAAAATACCCAACAACCTTGTACGACCAGTTTGAAGCTTTTAATTCACCTAAAATCGATACTCAAACTCTCTTTCTCAATTGTTATGAACTAAAAACAACATCTCTTTCACTTTGTCTCCATATTCATACAAAAAAACCCAAGCTTTTGATTCCAAAATCATTTATGGCTGATAGAGCCATTTAAGCATACAATTCTTGGTGGGTTACTTTCGTTTGATGTTCTGGGTGGTTGGAGAAGACTTTGTGTGCTAAGGAAGTCATCACACTTAGTTTAAGGTATGAAACTGGTATATTTAACAGATCTGTTTGCGTAGAAGACTTACCCGTAAGTCTTATGGATGTAGAAGACTTACGGATAAGTCTTCTGGTCAAACGGACGACAAACTCTAAGTCGTCCAGCTTTGTATTTTTTTTAAAAAAAAATCTAGACGACTTATAAGTAAGTCGTCTAGAAAAAACGGGCTAGTTTTGCATTTGACCGAATTATGTTAGATATTTGACTTTTCATGGACGACTTACCAGTAAGTCGTCTCTGGGAAAGTTAAAATTTCAATATTTTATTAGTTCGAGACAACTTACGGATAAGTCGTCTTAGGTTAGTTTTGTAATTAAAAAATAAAACTTTAATTTTAACTTTTCCCAGAAGACTTAATTTATAGTCGTCCAATCAGACGACTTATTATAAAGTCGTCCGTGATAAGCAAAGTCGTCCAGATTTTTGCCGGTCAAACTTTGTTTATATCGGACTACTTTCGAATAAGTCGTCACACTGGACGACTTTAAATTAAGTCTTCTGGGAAAAGTTAAAATGAAAGTTTTATTTTTCAATTACAAAACCAACCTATGACGATTTATCCGTAAGTCGTCTCGAACTAATAAAATGTTGAAATTTTAACTTTCCCAGAGATGACTTACTGGTAAGTCATCCAGGAAAAGTCAAATATCTGACACAATTCGGTCAAATGCAAAACTAGCCTATTTTTTCTAGACGACTTACTTATAAGTCGTCTAGGTTTTTTTTCAACATACAAAGCTGGACGACTTCGAAGTAAGTCGTCTCATTTAAATTTCAGTTGCAAAAATAACCTGTCTGGAAGACTTATCCTTAAGTCGTCCGAAGAAGTCGTCCGAGTCAATGTTTAGTAAACTTTCATTTTCTCTATGTTTACTAATGTGTTTTTATTTTGAATTTTTGCAGATGATTCGTCAGTTACATGCAGTGTATGGAGAATGGTTGTTCAAAGATGGCTGTTGGGATTTTGTGGTTGATAATTTCAAAGGAGCGAGAATGTTTCTTTTGAGTGAAGGTTCGACACATGCTGAACTTGTTTCAATGGCTCAAGAAGATTATAACTTGGACAAGAGCACAGTCACTGTGGAGATAAGCTACTCATTACCAGCAGAAATGAGGATGGCTCTAGCCACCCCTCCCATTCATGTTACAAGTGATAGACAAGTTCGAAACTTGCTTGAGATAACCAAAATGCATAGAGTGTCTTTGTGTATCAAGCCGTAGCAAGGTGGAAACGGTTTCAGAGGAAAATGAAGAATCTGATGAATGTTTTGAAGATTATGATGATAATGAGTTGGTTGAAGATGAAAATCATGATGGGGAGAAGGATGATGGGGAGGAGGATGCTGATATCTCTATTGTTTCCGAAACGGACAAGAATGGTGAGGATTACAGTACTTATGGAAAGGTTAAAGATGAGGATGAGGAAGAAGATGATGATATTTGTTTTGAAAATTGCGAAAAGACATATGCTATTGAAGTAGGAAAATCAAATGGTAACAATATCTATGTCAACCAGAGTTTTGTTAGCAAGGATGCACTGCTTTCAGAGCTTTGGTTGACAGCAGTGAGGCGTAAGTTCTCCTTCAGAATATACAAGTCAACGAAAACTCTCCTTGTGGCAACATATCGGGTTAGTGGTTGTGGATGGAAGATCATAGCGAGTGTGAAACATGGGACAAGCATGTTTTGGGTAAAAAAAGTATGTGGAAACACATACATGCTCAGTGGGAGACCGAATCACTCAGTGGAGACACTGTACTCCGAAGTATGTTGGTAGGCTTTTCATTGATCGTGTTGGAATCATTAATGGGTTGATTCCGCAGCATATCACTGATGCAATGAAGAACATGTTTGGCATGACGCTTGATTACACCACTTCATACAGAGCACTTTTATATGCACAAACATTGGTGAGAGGATCACCTGGAGATGGATATTCGCGTCTGCCATCATATCTCGAGCAAATCTCCTTAGCAAATCCCGATTCCATCACGGCTATAGAACTTGATTCTATCAATAGATTTAAGTATATATTTCTCTCTTTTGGAGCTTCTATCAAAGGTTTTATGTATCAGAGAAGGGTCGTTATGGTGGATGGGACTCACCTAAGTGGGAAGTATGGAGGTATTTTGTTAGTTGCAGCCGTACAAGATGGGAATTCTCAGATATTTTGATTGGATTTTGTGATTGTAGATGTTGAAGATGAACCTTCTTGAGAATGGTTTTTCACAAA